TTGTGTTTTTATTTAAATTAAAGGATTTTTGATTAAAGTCTGGTTGTTTTTAACCCTTTACTGAATGGGTAGGGGTACAACTGGTATGACTTTTGGGGGGAACCCCACGCTTTATTTTTCTTTTAAATAGGCGTCCCTCCTAAACTTTTTTACCAGACCTATCTGACGGTTTGGGAGGAGGACCCCATGTTGTATTTTTTTTTTCTTTTCTTTACTTTTTTATTGTGTTTTAACTTTTTTTCTTTTTTTCACATTTATTTCAATTATTTTTTATCATTTTTAAAACATTTTTTTAACCGTTTACTTTTTTCTATTCTGCTCACTACCTCAGAGGTAGAGCAGCCCGTACGTACAGCAGTCGAGCGGCCAGATGTTGGATTGGCTGAGTCGAACTGCTTCTGCACTGGGGCTCAGCTGAACATGCAGAGCATGTTCAGCTGACCGCAGTGCAGCCAAAGGCAGCCGATGAATGGCTAATTTAGCCAATGTACGGCTGAAATCAGGCGTACAGAGCCGAAATAAATAACCGACCGCCTTTCGGCTCAGTTCACTTTGGCTCGGTTAATCACTCGGCTGCCTTTGGCAGCTTTGTGAATAAACATCTTAGTGTCTGCTCCTGCTTAGAAAATGTCCACCGCTATAGATGCTGGGACCTGCTGTAAATTTGGCAGTCATCATCATCATCATCATTTGGCCCGATCTGTGTATCAGACCTGCTGTTAGCGGCTATTTCTATACTCATTGATGTAACGTGTAACACTCTTAGTACTTTATAAATCATAAAAAAAATAGATAGATACATTGTTGATAACTATAAGTTATTGCAAAATTAATAGGCTAAAAGTTGAAATATAAAAATGGCTCTAGGTCATAAATGTTTCCATAAAGCCCATGTGTTTGCATTTGCATTTCAAGACACCATTCTAAAGTCTGTTTCAGGCAGCATAAAAGCAAAAATTACCATTGCCAGTAGCCCTTTATTATTCTTTACCATTTATTTCAACTAAAAGTCTTTCAGTTTGGTCTATCAATATTTCTTCAAGAAAATTAAATATGTTTAAAAACAAATGTAACAATAAGTAAATCAAAGAGCACATTATGTTTTTATATAAGAATAATTTACCTAATCTATGCACAAAACAAGTATGATAAAAAAAACTAACCAAGCCCTAAGTATAAAAAAACTGACTGGAATTTTCAACATGTTAATTTATTACATTAGTTTATATGTTGCTTCACTATAACATCTCCTGGCTCAGTAACATTTTCTAAACAAAACTGCATTGCACATGTTTTTCCGGTATCTCACTTTTTATCAGGGATGCACCGACACCAAGTACCATACTCGGTACAAGTACAGATACTTTTCAAGCTCCAAGACTAGACTAGAGAAAAATGTAAAAGTTAGGATTCAGCTGTCATTTGTAAGGATCACACGGAGCTCCTGGGATTTGTACATCTCTGTTTTAATGTATGATTTTGTTTTTATAAATATAATTAAAGGGATGCACCGATACCAGTTTTGCAAGTACAAGTACTAATACATTTTTGTTTATTATCATGTGACAGTTTTTCTAAAACAATATCGACTAATGATTTCAGGACATTGGTGGAGCACCAGCGCCAGGTCCCAGCTGCAACCCTGGTAGTTCTCCTGAAAATGCCAAGTATCGGCACGGGTACTCAAAGTATCGGTGCATCCCTACTTTTTATACATTCATTATTCTCCTTTTCTCAAATGCTTTAATATATTTATCTCAGTAAAAGAAATAAGAGCAAACAACTAACCAGCTTCCAGAAAAACATTGTAATGTTTATGTATGTGCTTTGTTCTGTACTATTAAAAACATCTTTTGGGGGAAAACTGATCAAGTAACATCAAACAGTAAATATACAGTATTCTAATTAGTGCAACCTAAGAACATTTAAGTCCAAATAAAGTGCAAAATGCAGAATGATGGTACAGCAAAATAGTATAAAGTGCAATACAATGATCCCACACTAACAAAGTGGAAATGTTAAGACTATATTATAAAATAAATATTATAAATGTATGTCATGGCAATTAAAATAAGGTCTGTGTGTTCAATCCCATTAAACAAAAGACAGCTTCTAGTCCTCAAACAACACACTTCTTGTGATCTGTACAGTTGTTCTTCCAAACTTCTGACAGCGGTTTTATCTTGTGCAAATCATCAGTACACCCTTAGTGCTCAGTAACTCTCTACCCTTAATGAATTAATGCTTAACCTTCCCCTGAAAATGTTAAAAGATGTACTGCGGCGCTAAGGTGATCATCACATTTGGGCAGAGCACAGCACACGTTTTGGAGTTGAAGCAGCACCTCTGTAAGCCTGGGATCATGGTTTTGAATGCATTGTTGTGTCCACTATTACAACGTATAACCAGAAGCCTGATATTATCATCTGATAATACAAAATAGGAAGTCAGGTGTTTACAACTGTGATTCTTTTAGGCTTCTTTATCTTGTTATTTCCATGCATCTTTGTGAATTTGCCTTATTTCATTGGGTTTTGACAATATTCTGATGCTAAAAAAAAAAACATAAACACATATATTGGAACTATGGAGGCTGCCATATATTCTGAGCCCCTGTGCTAAAAACAAAATGCAGACTAGGAATGCCACATTCAGTTTGACATTCCTAAGCTCTGACATTAGAAACAGCAGAATTTTTTAAATAGCTATTTCACAAAGAAGAAGCAAAGTGCTGAGGAAAATGTGCAATAGCCAATTGCTAACCAATCAAAACTCACTGTACTGAAGTTAGAACAGTGCAAAGAGAGTCAGATTTGATGCTTTTGGTAAAGTAATTTGAACTTGCTTTGCTATTTGCACTGTTTTATTAAATAAACCCAACAGTAGCTTATAGTGATACAGTACCAGCAAGGTATAGAACACAAGATAAGAGTGGATAATGCAAATGCTGGGAGATATGAAAGATGAAAACTTAAATAAACAGAAAAGAACATTATACCAAAGAGTGATAACAAAACAGTATGACTAGCAGAGTGCAATTGTATACTAGACACAAAGAAAACGGTAAGGGAATACTTGGACAAGTATGGTTAGGGTGGAGGGCTGGATTAAATGTAGCTAGGATATGGTTAGTTCTCTGGATACCACTTTATAAACATATGCAGTTTCCATAGAAACGAGCTTAGTCTCCACAGCAACAGAGAAGCAGAAACATAAAGGATGAACACATGGGGGAGGGTGGGGGCTAAGAAAATGTGACATACCCAATTATACACACACATTGTGGCATAGTTAGACATTCAGACACATACATTAGGTTAGTAACTGAGACATATTTGCACATATAAATAGAAAATTTGCAGGGGCACATTGCCTTAGAGTGCTGGCAACCATGCATTTGAAAATACACAATGAAGCACAGCAAATCACAATTATTGATAATGTCCCCATTGCAATGAATCAGCCTGAAATGATCAGTTATACAAAGGAAACAAATACGTCACAAACTGAATTCAAGCTAAATGGCATTCATAGAAAATAATTATGATATACTGTAGATAAATCATAGAATATTATATTTAACTAAATACATACACATTCATTTTCTTAAAAAAATATTTCAGCTATATATTAGGTGAACCTTTTACAAAGCACAAATCCTCTTCCATTTCCTGCCACTTTAAAGAAGTCTATCATTTTACTGCCCTTAAAATATACACTCTTAGCACAATTTGCAGTTCCACAGCTAACTAGTTGCACATTGTCAGAGGACTGCACTCTTATATCTAAAAATTTGAATGAATGTATAATGTATATATAAGAAAGTGTTCATATACATGAATATATTGCTTACTACTGTCAAAGCTGTTTAACACAAGCAAGTCCTGTTCTAAATACTGTTAAATGATTGCTTACAATCTAAATCAATATCATTTATTGATCATTGAAAAATAAATAGTGATTTCACTTGATAGAGCACAAACAGCTGTGACTTGGGTACTGGAGTGTAAAATGGTACACCTGAGACACATCTCATACATATCTACACACAAAGGCAGATAACTACAGTGGGCATGTACAAACAGCTATACTGCTTTATATTAGACTAACTGTATCAGACCCTTGCTTGTCTCTTGTTCTAAAACATTGTTCCTACCCTACATTTCCATATTGAAGGTCCACATATTCTGCCACAAGCCAGCTCATTTCCTTCACCTTTGGCCAACACAAGGCACTCCCACATGATAACTTTTAGTTTATATTTACCCTGAGCTTTGCTTTGTAGCTTTGTCACTTTCAAATCTCAGTGTTTATTAGAATCAAAGATTACCCTTGATGTGTTATTTGGAGGGTTGATCTCAACCATATGATTTCTGGGATACTTATGCCCTTTAGATAAATTAACACCCTGCACCCATTTAGTTTTGAGACTCACGTGCCAGATGACGAAAAAGATGAGAGAAGCACAGAGGACGAGTGTTAGCATGTAACAGAACGCAGCAAAGGTGAACGCCATCTCTGGATGAGAGACTGCTGAATGCAAGACCGCTCTGAGGATTACTGTTCACGAAGGCTGAAAAATGCTGCCAAGGACGACTTTCTGAGTATGTTATCAGACAGTGCCTAATTAGAGTTCCTTGAGATAGTCCAAATTCTGTGGGTACAAGTCCATCTGTTCAGCAAGTGCTTTGAGTGAGTGCGTCAGTAGTATGCTAATAAAAAATTCACAGAGGGTGGTCAAAGACTTGAGCATAAATAAAACTGCTAAAGATTAGAATGCAAACACTACCAAAATTATTGTTAGAATGCTGATTACAGGTAAACATTAAATAGCTGAGAGCACTGCATGCCAAAAAGTATGATCATGTATACAAATTAGGTAGTGGTTAGAAAGAAAGGCCGGTGTACAGTACAAATCTATTACCAGTTATATGGCCTGTGATATCTGGCACTTTAAGTAGTGTTGATGGTTATAAAAATATCAGTGTTGGAGAAAAAAAAGCTTTTCCTCTCCTCCATGTAGCTTGCATTGTTTAGGACTCTGTAGTACCTTTACGTGTGCTTCTGTGAGTAGATATCGGTTAAATTGCAGTGTTCTATTCTCCTCTTCCTCTTTTGAGCACCTGTCTTCTTTGTTTGCACGTTTAATGTCTCTCACCTTTGCTGTATATGTCTTTTCAAGCTGTCTCTTCTTCTATGTGTATATTCACTCAGTTTTTTGTCTGCACTTCTTTCCCAGCTGTTCATCAGAAGATAGCCTGACTTAAAGTAGCAGCTGACACAAGCATCTTGAGCGCACTCCAGTCTAGTCTGTGTTCTCAGTCTCCCTCTCTGCTAATGCTCCCCAGTACCTTGCACTCCTCCTGTTAGCCTCTCCCCCTTTGAAGTTCACTCTCTCTCCCTCCCTCATCGTAACCTCTCCTCCTTTGCTCTTTAACGTCTCTCTCCTCCCTTAAATTTTTATCTATCTAGCTATCTAGCCATCTGTCAATCTATCTAGCATCTATTTTCCTATCTCTATTAGAAGATTCTTATAATGCATTTATGTGAACTATATTCCTTTATGTCTACTCTTTCTATTTTGTCCAGTTCTCACTTGTTTCCTCCTCCCTGTTTTGACATTAACAGTATACATAACGTTCCTGGAGTATATCTGTGATACTGGGTATCACAGTCTTTTCTGGAAAGAACTGTCATTGACTTCATTGTATCTGTCTCATTGTAGAACATCACGGCATCCAGGTAATTGGTAACAGGAATACCGAAGCATTATTGTGACATCTAGTGGTAATATTGGACAATGCATATGACCCTTAAAAGTTGAGTGACAAATGATTGCTAAGATAGTGGGGGGAATTTATTAATGCATTTGCGGCAATATTTTTAGGAAGATATTAATATATAACAATTTTTTTCAAAATGTCATGCTAACTAACCACAGAGTTTTATATCTGTTATACGTCTTTTTTTCAGTGTTCTTGCGACATATTAATGTTTGCGACTCACTGCACATGTTTTGTGACATTTTGCATAATATTTTAACTGGGCAGTATTTGGGTACATGAATATAAAAAAAAAAATTCTGCGCTATGGAAGCTTCAAAGTGATAAATATAAATATAAAAGATGAAAAGCTGCCCTGCTAATATTAGTATTTGGGTACAGCATTTGTGACAGTAAAAGACACCCAAACAGATGCACATCCTAGAAGTGCTTCTGAGCACTTAAACACTTGCTGCTCAGAGTAATTTCTTACATTTGCGCACACATAATAAAATCTGAATTTTGGCAAGAAAACAGCTTCAGACCCCAAACAATTATATATTTTCTGAAAGCAGAGGCCCTGTAGAATAAAAAGATGCTAGTTGCAATTTTTTATGTTGCACGGTATTTGCGCAAATGTTTATTAAACAAGTACTTTTAGAATAAAATACACTAAAATGAAATTTAGTGCACAGAAACAGAATATAATACCCAATTTTTTGGTAAAATATAAAAGACGGGGTTACGCCGGGTAAATAGATTCCAAATATGTCAAGCCTTAAAATTGCGTGTGTCCGTGAAACCGCAAAAAACTACAATAACCAAAATTTCCCTTAGGCAACGCTTTAAACACTTTTACAGCTCATCCGTTTAGTGTTAACAATGATTGATGGACCTAGAATTATTGCTCTCACTCTGACGCTCGCGTTGATGCGTAACATGTGTGGCGCAATTTTTGTTTTTGCACGTAGGTGCATCCGAAGCATGTTTGCGTTGTATGTGCGTGCAAGTGGGGGGCGGGGGACTTTAAAAAAAAAATGTTGCATTATTTTTTTAATCTCTTTAATTTTTACCATTTTCTTTTTTTTTTCTCAGGAGAGAGAGAGAAGAGACAGCCAGGGGGGAGAGAGTGAAGAGACAGCCAGGGGGGAGAGAGTGAAGAGACAGCCAGGGGGGAGAGAGTGAAGAGACAGCCAGGGGGGAGTACCGATTCTTTTCTTGCCGATACTAATACTGAAACCTTTTTTTAGTGTCATGTGACAGTTTTTCAAGCCCAGCAAAGCAAATGGCAAACGCACTCATCAATTTGTTACCAGCTTTACAGCAAGGGCCTTATACAGTAAAACAGCAAAACGTTTTCCCAGCACACTCACCAGCCAGCATGCAAAAAAACTTGTCTCACCGCTAAGGTTAAAAACAGAGGTTTAGTTACACGTCTTCTGCAGAAAATGTGAAAGCCGCACAGCCGCCTCAAGGCACCTCTAAATATTGTGGTCCTATCTCTAAACTATGAGAGTCTCCATCTTGGAGCACATATGGCAAAAGATCAAATTGGGTGCAGGTTTGTCAGGAGGAAGCCCAACCTCCCTTAATGGCACAGGGATGCACTCTGTTTTTAACCTTAGCGGTGAGACAAGTTTTTTGCATGCTGGCTGGTGAGTGTGTTGGTAAAACCTTTTTGCAGTTTTTCAAGCCCAGTCACAGCTGCAACTGCTGGGCCCCTGGTAGTCCTACCACTGCCCCCAAGCTGTAGACAGACTACCATCAGTAATAGAGGACTAAAAATCCTAGCAAAATATTATACAGCAATGCAGAATACCATCAGCTATAGAGGACTACAAATCCCAGCAATACATTATACAGCAATGCAGAATAGTATATGAATTTGGTGCATACTGGCCTGATATCTCAGGTGTAGGGTCTCAGCAGGGGCAGATGTGGAGGGTCTCAGCAGGGGCAGATGTGCTGGATCGCAGCACGGACAGATGTGGACAACTGCAGCAGGGACAGATTTGGAGGATCGCAGCAGGGGCAGATGCGTTGGGTCTCACCAGGGGCAGATGTGGAGGATTTGTAATTTAAGTTTTTATTCAGGTTTTGGTGTGGGTACAAGATATAGATCAACTATAACAATAGTTGAAAAGCAATTAAATCATCATAAAACATATACCTAATTAGTTTAAACAATAATTTAACAATAATATAGTTAAAAGAGAAAAAAAAAAGGATGGAAGAAAAGGAAGCAGGGGGGTATAAAGAGTGCATCTTATCTCATACTCACGGGGAGTAAAGAAACGTCGGAGAGCAAGGCATCGCCATTGGTGTTTTCGAGTGATTGCCAAGGGGACCACACCTGTTCGAATTCAGGGATAGTATTGTGTAGTTGGGTCGTTAAGTATTCCAAATTGTAGATATCATGGATCCTTTGCACCAGTTCTACGTGGGACGGAGGGGTAGCTTGTCGCCATTTTAAAGCTATAAGGCATCTTGCTGCAGTGAGAACATGGTTGACAAGTTTAGTAGTAGGTTTCGGAAAGTGTGGGATGGGGAGGCCTAGGAGCAAGTGTACAGGGTCATCTGGTATAATCTTGTCAACTAGTTTTTGGAGCAACATCGTTATATACTTCCAGAAGGGCCATATCTTGGCACCTTCCCAGAATATATGGAGTAAACTGTCCCTTGAGGTCGAGCATCTCCAACATACTGAAGGGAGCGAAGGGTTCATGCGGTTCAGCAATTCTGGGGTGCGATACCAGTGGTAGAGAATTTTGTACTGATTTTCCTGGTATAGAGTACAAATGGAAGTCTTACTAGCGTTAATCCAGATCTTCTCCCATTCATCCATGTCCAATGTTCGGCCTAAAGCTCTCTCCCATCTACACATATAATTATGCTTTGGAAAAGGTGTAACGCAAATCAAATTAAGTAATTTGTAAATATCTGCTATCAAATGTTTACGAATAGGTCCTTCTAAGCACATTTTTTCGAATGGTGTTAATGGCGAAAAAATAAGTGACGAGGAGACTGTGTATGCAAAATGTTTGATCTGAAGAAATGTAAAGAGGGATCTAGTTGGTAAATTAAAATTAGTTTCTAAATTCAGAAAGGGCAATAAAGTCCTATCTACTTTGTGAATTATATAATTAAAGCGAAAAAGGGACTGATCTGACCACGGGCGGGCAGTATATCGGTTAAGTGTAGCAGGAAGGAGAGGTGTGTATAAAAATGATCTCCATGAGGTGGTGGTTGAAGTAAGATTAAATTTAATCCCTACGGAATGCCAAGTATCTTTAGTGTGTTGCATAGTAAATAAAAGCGAAGGGACATGTGTAACCTGTAGATTATACCATAGGGGGCAGTTTAAATGTAGTGGTGAGATCCAGAGATTTTCTATTTCCGCCCATCTATTGGGCAGATGTAAGGAAGACCAGGATGCCATGTGGCGCAGGTGGACTGCTATGTAGATATTTAGATATATCCGGAAAAGCCAGTCCACCCTGTGATCTGGAGGATGTTATCACTGTCCTGGCAACTCTGTGAGCAGCATTGTCCCATGTAAATTGGAGAAGTGAGCGTTGTAAGGTTTTAAGATCCTGTATAGGTACTAATAGGTAGTGTCCCGAAATAGTAAAGCAATTTTGGCAATATCATCATTTTAATTGATGTCATTTTACCTATCCAGGATAAACGATATGGTCTCCATCTCCAAAGGAGATCTCTAATTTCCCGATACAAGGGGATAAAATTGGTCGTATATAAAGAAGTCACCTGGGGGTAAGATAAATACCTAAAAATATTTAAGTTTATCCATTTTCCAATTATACTAAAAGGAAGACTGTAGAGAGGACAGTGTTTCCTGGGGAATGTGGATTGGCATTGCCTCAGATTTAGTGAAGTTAAGTTTATACCCTGATATAGAAGAGTAACTAGCCAGTTCCCTATGTAAATTTGGTAGGGAAATAAGGGGCTTAGTCAATGTCAATAAAATACAATCTGCAAAGAGTGACAAT